GGAAGATACAACAGATGGATGTAAAGTCCGCCTTCCTAAATGGAGTTCTTGAAGAGGAACTTTACATTCAGCAACCATCAGGCTATGAAGTCAAAGGGCATGAAGACAAGGTGTTGAAGTTGAAGAAGGCTCTTTACGGGCTAAAACAAGCACCAAGGGCATGGAATAGCCGAATCGACAAGTACTTCCAAGAGAATGGTTTCAACAAATGTCCCTACGAGCATGCTCTATATATCAAGATCAAAGATGAAGATATTTTGATCGTGTGCCTCTACGTGGACGATTTGATCTTCACTGGAAGCAACCCAAGCATGTTTAATGAATTCAAGGATGTGATGATGAAAGAATTCGAGATGACAGACATGGGGCTCATGGCGTACTACCTTGGCATTGAAGTTAAGCAACAAAATGATGGAATTTTCATTTCACAGGAAAGCTATGCAAAGGAGATACTGAAGAAGTTCAAGATGGAGAACTGTAAGCCAATAAGCACACCGACAGAATACGGGATCAAGATGACCAAGCATAAAGAAGGCGAAAGTGTAGATCCAACATTCTTCAAAAGTTTGGTAGGAAGTCTACGCTATCTAACTTGCACGAGACCCGATATTCTTCACGCAGTTGGATTGGTTAGTCGCTACATGGAATCCCCAACAACCACCCATTTTAAAGCTGCAAAGAGAATTCTTCGCTATCTGAAAGGTACAATTGACTTTGGCTTGTTCTATTCAGTTTCTAATGATTACAAGCTTGTTGGATATAGCGACAGTGATTGGGGTGGAGACATAGATAATCGAAGGAGCACTACTGGATTCGTATTTTTCATGGGAGATATTGCATTCACATGGATGTCAAAGAAACAACCGATTGTCACATTGTCCACTTGTGAAGCGGAATATGTTGCTGCTACCTCATGTGTTTGTCATGCAATTTGGCTTAGAAATCTATTGAAGGAGATTGGTTTGATACAAGAAGAGCCTACCAAGGTTTGTGTCGACAACAAGTCAGTCATTGCCTTAGCGAAGAATCCAGTATTCCATGATCGAAGCAAGCACATTGATATTCGCTACCACTATATAAGGGAGTGTGTTGCAATAAAAGATGTGGAAGTTGAATATGTGAAGTCACAAGATCAAGTTGCTGATATTTTTACCAAGCCACTGACCAGCGAAGACTTCTTAAGATTAAGGAACCTACTAGGAGTCACGAGATCAAGTTTAAGGGAGGGTGTTGGATCATAAACTTGATCCATTATGGGAGCTTAAACCCAAACCCAAACTAAATTGATGTCATTACTTACATCATTTAATTAAAGATGTCATTGCTTACATCATTTAATTAATGATGTCATTGCTTACATCAATTTAGTTAGGTGAAAGTTAGATATTTGTAATGGTTTAAATTAGTTTATTTGTGTGGTGTAGGATTGTTCTTGAGTAGTATAAATACCCCTTCCCATTTTAGTTTTAAGCATCAAGAAAAATTAAGAGCTTCTAAGTGAGTGAAGAAGCAAAGTCTTATAAGAGTGAGTTGTAGTTCTTGTTTTTGAGTGAGAGTACTCTTGTAATATTTGTTTGAGTTTCAATAAAAGTTGTTTGTGTGAGTGTTTTATTTCCAACAGGTTCTTCCCCTTCGCTAATATGGTGAAGTATTTGGAGCACTCGACAATTATTTGAGTTCGGGACATTCTATTCCAATATAGAACGATTATTGGCTCCCCTCTACTCCTGCTAGTCGTGTTTCTTCTGCTAGAGTGGCTCACATGAACGTTGTTTCTGATCTTCTAGAGCCTAATTTAAGGGGCTGGAATGAGTCATTGGTTCGCTCGATATTCACCATTGATGAAGCAAATTCTATCCTACAAATTCAACTGCCATTGTACCCTCAACCTGATCTTCTAGTATGGAAGGGAGAAAAGTCTGGCATTTACTCGGTATCGCAGTGGTTATAAACTGCTTGTTAACACTACCACACCCCCACTGCCGATTGAAAACATTTATAATTATATTTGGATTCCACTTGTCCAGAAAAATTAAAGATTCTAGCTTGGAGGCTTACTAAAAATTATGCCCCAACAATGCACAATTTACTTATTAAACGTGTGGTCTCGAATCCTACCTGTCCTCGGTGTCAAACACAAAATGAAGATGTGTTACATGCAAGCCGTGATTGCTCTTTTGCTTGCTCTGTTTGGAACAATTTGGGTTTAGTATGGTCCAATGCTGCTAATCAATTGTGTTTTAATGATTGGCTACTATGGCTTTTCAAACGACATAGTATGATTATTACTATATGGTCTCTATGGTTTTCTCGAAATAGGTTGGTACATGAAAGAGTTTCACTAAGACCTGAGAAAGCAGAAGTCTTCATCAAGAGTTATTATTCGGAATTCAAAAACCTTATCTCATCGACAAGCATTCCTTCCATTATTGAGACAGAACATTGGGACCCTCCACCACCTCTGATCTTTGAGGTTAATGCTGATGTAGGATTCAAATCATCAGAATGTCGGTCTAGTTCAGGCGTTGTGATAAGAGATGCCGAAGGTCATATCATCATATCCTGCCACAAAATCAATAACCATGTGCATACGGCTTTTGCTGCTGAAGCTAGAGCTTTACTCCAGGTGTTGGAATTTGCGAGTGAAATCGGCCTCCATTCGGTGGTAGCTGAAAGTGATTCCAAAACTCTAATTAACAAATTGAATTCAAAGGACTTGGACTTTTCAGAGATAGGACCAATCACCCGTGATATCCGGACATTGGCGAGGACCTTCACTCTTTGTTCCTTTCGGTTCTGTGCCAGGAGCTGTAATAGGGCAGTGCGTGCAATGGCGACGGAAGGGCTTTATCGTTCAGCTGACTATTTTTGGGTAGAAGACGCTCCGATTTCCGTTCGACTTATAGCCGCAGATGACAGGTGGTTTCTTGATCCACCGTAGACTTATTGGATCATCTTGTTTGGGGATTCACTTTTCCATTGCTGCTGTGCATATCCCTGTGTTTTTTCTTCTATCATGGTCCTTCATCGTTCATTCTATCATGCAAGATAGAAACTAGTTGGCTGTGTTACTTGCTTTTATCCTTTACGGGCCCCTTCTGATTTTATTGTTTGTTGCCCTTCTTTTATTTTAGAAAATATGATTGTTGTTTCTTTGTCTAATAAAACACAGCCGACTTTTAATCAAAAATAATTATTGAAAACTTGTAAAAAAAATAACATTTCAATAATAACTATATAAACAATATTTACTAATTATTATATATACTAAACACAAAACCATGTTGATTTATATTTTAATAATATATGTTACCACCAAAACATTATTAATATAAAATTAAACCTAAGATCTGTCAAGTTAATCATCAAGAATAAAATACTAAACGCAAAAGTATACCTTAATCATTGATTGAGATCGCTTATAATATGGTCGTGATCTTCTAAGAAGATACATTTGCTCTTTATAAGAGTAATACAAGTTAACATATTTATCGGGGACTACTACCTTTTTATATAAACTAAATACTAAATTAGTATATAAGTATTTATAATTCTACTCCTCATGAAATTATAAATACAACTTAAAAAATCAACACTATTATTTTTATGACACTTTAATACCTATGACAAATGTAACATAATTGATCATTTAATTTTGTGTCATACTTTGTAAAAGCATCATACATTATACATATATATCCACAATTACGAACAATAATCCAACAATATATATAACGATATTATTATTTTAATAATAAATAATGATATTATTTATTGTTTTAATAAAAATATTTAATACTGTAATATTATTCCATATATTATAAAAATATATAATTATCTAATAATAAATGATATTCTTAGTATTTATATTTGAAAATTGTAATAGATAATATTTTCAAAATAATTATATTGATACCAAAATGTATATTAACCCCAAATCTTAATTCAAAATGTAATCAATTTTAAGTATATATTAAAAAAAGTAAAGTACATAAATGATCCTCCGAGTATAGGATGTTATTTGTTGAGTTTCTACATTATTAAAAGTTATAAAACTGTCTTTTGATTATAGTTGTTACTTTGTTGAGTACTTCGACTATTAAAAGTTACAAAATAGTTACTCGACTATTCATTATTTTCCAAACTCGTCCTTTTTTGTTAAAAAAATAAAGGTTGTCTGAGCTGGGCGTTAACATGTTGATTGAGATATAATAGTCGTTTACGGTTATGAGATAAGATTTTATTATATCTCAGTCAGCATGTTAACGTCCAGATCAGATTGTCGTCAATTTTTAACGAAAAATGATGAGTTTGAAATATATAAATAGTTGAGTGATCATTTTGTAACTTTTAATTGTCGGGGACTCAACCAATAGCGGAACACAAGAGGACTAGTGGGAGCCATGGCCCCCAAAATTTAAAAAAATATATATAATTTAGACATTAAATATTTCAAAAATTTTAATTTGACTCCTTCAAAATTTTTAGAAATTCATATTAAACTTAAAAAATTTTAATGTTCTTAATGAAACCTCCTCCCTTGTTTTTTAAAAATTCTCATTAAGCCTCTTAAAATTTTAAAACTTTTAGTTAGACCCTATTTTTTTAAAGGAAAAAAAATAAACTAAACCTCTGAATTTTTTAAAATTTTAAATTATTCTTTAAACTCTATCATCAAGTTCTGTCACTGAACTCAACAAAAAATATCTTTTAATTGGCAAACTATTTGTTTACTTTACCCTTAAGAAAATTAGAAGTAAAAAAAATAAAGTGAACAAATGAGAAGCAAATAGAAAAGTGGACCTTTTTAAAGTATACCAGAACCATGCCTTTCTGATGCAAGGAAGCTCCCTTTCCATGTGGGATTCGAGTTTTTCTCTCTTTATGGGCGGTTAAAGTTGTTCAAATCCATAGCTTTTCTTCAGAATATTCTCTCCATTCTTAAATAAATGGCCTTGTTAGCCGTCGTCATTTCTTGCTTATGTTATACAAACAATTACAATGGCATCTTCGCTTTCATCAATACCCTTCCAAGCACAAGCAGCAACCGGAAGCAGTGCTCCGTCGACGTCGGGGTCTATAAGACCTTTCTTTGCAGTTATCTCGGTTCTGACGTTTCTTGCTGTCCTTTCTTGCATTGTTGGTAGGATTTATAGCCAACGTCGGGCGATGGCGGGGGCGGCGGTGACACCATTGGATACAATCAAGCATGGAGGATGTTTGGGTTTGTTGAAGTTGAAGTGTCGGCGTTGTATGACTGGTGAGGTGGTGGAAATGGGTGCCGAAGTTATGTCGTTTGGTGATGATAAAAGTAATGATACCCATCCCCCTGCACCACCGGTTTGAAATTCAAATGATCTTAATCACAGCTTTATTTGTACAAGATAACATAAATGTATTCATTTTCGTTAATTTAGTTGAGATTTAGTGTTAATTTATGCACATTGTTGTTTTTAAATGTGTTTTTCTAAAATATGTAAATTAAGAATTTTTTTGCCCTCCCGAGTTCTAAGGCTTCACCTTTACTAATCCGAATTTACCCACATCGCGTACTTGTTTTGGTGGGTAAATCTTCTAGCAAAAAATTTCTGCATAAACAATTATTTAAATTCGAGACCTTACTTAAGTGATATCAAATTGTTTACCACTTAAATCAACATCTCTTAATTAAATTAAGAAAATTTTATTCATTATTAAAATTTACCATGCTTAAATGAATACTCAATAAATATATACATAGAAACATTAAAATGCGATAATAATAATTTTATTTTATTTTATAAATTCATCAACTAGTCTCAACAATAAAATAGAATATTATTTTTTCTTATAAGATTTGTGTTTGAACATTTATATATATAGAGTATGTGCATTTCAATATTTGATAAAAAAATATTTAACATATATTATCTTATAATCACTCGAACTACTAGATAAAAGTATTTTTATTTGCAAACAAAACAATCGTAGAAGCTACAATTAATTAAAATTATTATATGACAAGTTCAAATCTCTATGTTTTGTATTATTTTTTTCAAATTCAATCGTTCCTTCATTAATTAAAATTAGTGTTGGAAGCTACAATTGTTAGAATTAAATTATAATAAATATGAAAAAAATCAATCAAGATTTAATCATGTTAAATCATTAAGAATACAAATAAATTAGATTTACGAAAGTGTATCTGAATTAATTGATAGGTTAAAATATTTGAATTTTTATTTGGTTGTGATATTCTAAGAAGATAAAATTCTCTTAAGTATAAACTATCTGACAGGATAATAGTAATACGAGATTATCTATTTCTTGGGGACTATAACTAGTTGATTTAAGAATCAGTTATTGTATGTACTTATAACTATGGCTCTCATCAAATTATAAATACAACTTTAATAGTATTTATACATTTATTTTTATGATACTTCTAATACCTTATGATTTTATAATATAATTGATTACTTAATTTTTTGTCATATCTTATGATAACAATATGTGATTATAATTATGGATTTTAATCAAACAACAATGTAGGAAGAAACTACATTATCAAAATATAAAGGCACAGAAGTGTTCGCAACATGTTAGCTAGAGCGTGGATTGCGCCATTAGCCTAACGATAAATATAGCGAACAGTCACCCTTGGATGCGCATCAAGTGACCAACGTGCCTCGGTCAAGTAGAATCCCAAAACCAATTATCCAAATGGTGATTCTCAAACTGCTTATCCACATTTAAAAAGTCACTCTCGACCACATCACTTGGAAACTCATCTCAATCGTCATACGAACTCCGTGACAGAGCTACTAGAAAGCTTGTATTGCACAAACCAAGAATCGGTAGAGCACGACAGACGAGCACATAACTAGAGCTGTTGCGCACTATAACATCCACATTCGGAGAGCCCAGTCATTTCGGACAAGCACCATCAACGTTTATCTTGATAGTGTCGTGGGGGAGGATTTAACCAGCGACACACCTGCATCACTGAAGTTGAAGCTGCAACTGCATACAAGATAAATGAAATGGCATTTAGGTATGTTAACTGCAATGCCTCACCGGAAGCGATTGTCAGCCAGGCAATCTACAAGACTTGTGGTATAACACATTGCAGCGATATCATATCTTCCAAAGGAGAACCAAAAGGGTTGTGAATCGGGAAATGGACAATAAACCATAAGGTGCTCCAGCCAAGAGCCGAATGAATTGAAGTGTTGCAAGTCATCACCCACAATGAACCCGACACAGGTAAGGATGAAGCGTACTTCAACACAATCATGTAATGCATGGGAATCAGTTTCCTTCGTTGAACCACAAAGACAACAACCATCAAATATACCGGTAAGGAACAAACGACTATCAACAGAGAGCGCCTCATGGGACGCTCACCACCCAAACATGTGAACTTGAGACAGGGTCAGCAACGTGATAAGAAGAGCCACAATCGAGACGTTGGGAGCAGACTAAACTAACTGCGTAGAAACCAATTATACCTCGATCTCACTGAATAAGAACCTAATGAGTGGCCACTCCAAATTAGGGTGTCGGCTTCCACCGTGGAGATAAGGCACTACAAAATAACTTGTGTATCAACCACGAAAAATACCGCTGAACCTGCAAAGAATTCCATCAGGGAAAGCTACGTAGCATGTAATCACCGCAAAGGTTCGGTGGGGAAACAATATCATAAAAGGGTCCCCAAAGTGTAGAGGCGATGTACAACCCCAACCCCTGATAGACAGGAACCTAAATATTGCTGTCGATACACCGGAAAAAGCTATCACGCAACTCTTGGAGAGTGTAGACGCGATGTACCACCCCAACCCCCCATAGATAGGAACCTAACTATTGATGCCGATACACCGGAAAGAACCCTCACGCAACTCTTGGAGAGTAGTGAAAATACTTTACCAAGCAAAAGATGGACGATCACCAAGTAAGACATCAAAAGCATTACCCGATTTGTAATAATTTTATTCCACGGACATTTTAAAACAATTTATAATATTCTAATATATATATATATATATATATATATATATATATATATATATATATATATAATAAAATTAGTAATCAAGTTAGACATCAATCCGAGGCTAAAGCGTTATTTTAATCAATTTAAAAAACATTTTGAAACTATTAGTGGTGAAGACTTGAAGGCTGATTATATGGTCAGGTTTTGTAGCATAAAACATTTCCATTTTCAATATATAACTTTGTTTTAGGTGCACAATAGAGTTTTCTTATAGCCCTTTTTTGCTTCACTTTAACAGATGATTGAATCTACATTATTATAACATTCATTCGTACGAGTCTTACCAAAACAATCCTAATATAGTTCAAACATTTGAGATAGAATTTAGCCCAAATAAGTAAGTCAAGATTAAATATTTGAATATTGTACATTCTATTTTATGCTATAGACACCATTCGTGAATCACTATACTGATGAATACCGACATCCCAATCCAATGCAGACTTCCTTAGACATCCAACCTAAAGCTAATTAACAATGACTGAAGGACTCAATTTGAATATATATATGAATAAAATTATGTTACATAATATAAAACTCTTTTAATTTTACATAAATTTAAAACCGTTGGATGAGTGAAAATAAATGACTAAGACTAACTATAAGAAATAAGAAAATATTCACTAAAAAAATAAGAAATCAATCTCAACCATCTATTTTCACTCATCCAAAACTCCTAAATTTGTGTAAAATTAAAGAATTTTATATTATGTAACTAAATTATAACCCTTATATATATACAGGGACGGTTATTGAACCGAGGGATGAAATCACGATTTACTTGGGGTCCATTTAACTCCCGAACTAGAGAAGCAACCAACCACCACTTTCTGGGATGTTATCGTAAAACATCATTCACAGGAAATGATGACCCTCGAACTAGAATCCATATTGTACCTTAAGATATGATTAACCTAGGAGGAAGTGAAACCAAATAATGCATGCATGCTAATGCCAGCAAATGGTTCATAGATTCATTGACCAGTTGATTTCAAATGTAGAACCGAAAAGATGCCTTCATACAGCATCAGCATCGTTTCTAAAAGTTCATAAACTGTATGTATGCCTCCGCAGATCATAACTCAGTCACAACAACATCTGGACGCGAAAAGGGCAGCCCTGACATAAGCACCATACTACTTAAGGATCTCTATCAACATTTCATGGTGAGAACCTTCCCCAAAACAAAAACAAACTAATGATCAGTCAAATTTCGGGTGTTGGGTCGATGAAGCTGTATGGAGATGGGAATGGAAACAAGTTATAGAGGCTTAAGTTCAATTCCTCCGTTTGCTTTTTTCTTTCCTGACTTCTGAATGTTTCCTCTCCAAACCACGATGGGACCTGCTGGGAGAGTCCCTGCTGGGAGAGTCCCTGCTTCGGTGCTTATGATGTTTCGAGTGTTTTCTGCTGGAACTACTCTTTCCCTTGGATGATCTTCTCTCTTTTCCTTTTGACCTAGAACGGTAGTGTTCACGGTCATCACTGGACGGATCACTATATGAATCACTGCTTCTATATCGATGTCGTTTAGAATGTTTTCTACTCCTTTCATCTTCTGATGAGGAACTGCTGCTCCAATTTCTCTTACGGCTGGAGGGTGATTTGACTTTCTTATCCTCTTCAGCAAACTTATCTTTGTTGACTTTAGCAGACATGTTCTCAGATAAGCCAACAGTATGCTTGCTACCATAACCCACAGACCAGCCAGGAACGGATTCATTTTCTGGGGATTCAATGTCCTGAGCAGTTCCATTTCCAGGGTTTAGAGAAGTTCCACTGCTGAGTTTAGGATTTCCAGAATCACTGTTTGGTGTTTCTATCCGAGGAACGTCGACTTTATTAGTTGAGTAGGGCGTGTCAGGGGGGACCTCAAAACCCAGTTCTTTTCCAAGCGATTCTAGAAAGTCACCTGCTATCAAACGGTTCAGTGTTGTAGTTGCCACTTCAGTCTTCTTCTCCGGATCCTCCACTTTTTTGGTGTTCGAGTCTTCTACATCATCATCAGAATCATCAGAAAAAATTGCCTGCATAGAACGAAGATCAGTGCAACAGAATAAGTAGGCGGTTCAGTCATTTAAAGATATTAAAGATTCTGTATGTATGAATAATAGTACACCTGCCAATTGTTAGCCACATGCAAACATAAAAAGCATTACGGTAAAACAGGAAGGACATGCACATACTCTAGTGGTACAAACAAAAAATATATAAAAAATAATTGCAGCACAAGAGCCAACTTCCACTCAGGTAAAACAAGGCTTCATGATTTAGAAGATAAATAAAGACAGTGAATGATGAGCAGAGGCAGCAATTTATCGAACATTCTTCAGCAACCAGCCAAGGATATCCTTGTAGCATAAAGTTCCATTACGAATGCAGAATATAAAAATTTGTTAAAATGGGAAAAGAGAAACTCTAACTATTCAGCAAAACAAATTCATACAAGAGACAACACTTATGACTAACTCTTTAAACTCAAATAAGAACAAAGAAAGCGGTATGGTAGCATTCTGCTAGCTTTTCTGAACACTAGATGCAACAAAAGTGACAAATTTTGAAGAGCTCCAAACTAAAAACCTAAAATATAATTTTTGGACTTTCTGTTAAAAAGGAATTTCCACTTGAAACCGACTGTACAAAATTGTGGCAAAGAACATCGTAGCCCACAACTAACAGTATAAAGCCTCGGTGATTAAAAAGAAAGTAGTGAAAATGAGGTCAGCTGGATAAATAAGTTCATTACAAATTCTGAGATTAACCATTTCTAGTTGAAATATCTAGTTTGTCTCATGGAGCAAGGGCTACAACAAGAGACGATTAACTGGCACTAGAATCAAAAAGAGATGTATACACCGACTTTGAATTGAAAACAAATAAAATCACAAATAGATTTCAACTGAACAAAGAATACCTTATAGAGATCAACAGGCCTTTCAACATTTTCAGCTACGATTTCAATTTCCTTTTCAGCTGCATCTTCAATAGTCATTTGAGCACCAGTTTGAGGAGCAGGAACATCTCTATTTGTAACAGTATCTTCTTCCGGTTTAGCACCTTTAACAGAATCTGGAATGAAAAGTAGAGAATCAATCTTACTTCTCATGCGTGGAGCTGGTGGTGGCTGCAAACAGAAATATTTATTTTTAGAACAGAAATTGCAATTAATATATTGAAAATTTTGCACTAACCCCTCATTTCTAGGAGAGAACAATAATCAGAGTAAACCTCTTAGAAAATAAGTAAAACCAGCAAAGGTTTCTCACCACAAATTTCAGATAGGATGGGTGGGAAGATGGAGAACCACACCCATGTTTGTGCATACAAACATGTTCATACATCATAAAATCTTCATAAACTGTTTCTACCAACTCCGGTTTATGAAAAGAAAACAGCAGAAGAGAAGCAAGAATCTAAGACTACCTTCCCCATAAAAGGATCAATGAGATCAAAGCGTTTGCATAAAACAGGTGAAGGTCGCCATTGGAACTCCTCCCTTTTCGGATACTTTTTCTTTGTCGCCAAATCCTCAGCATGAACATCTTTAACTTCCTGTTAAATTTATCGATATGTCAAAATCCTGCATAAAGATTCAGTAACTAAAAAGTCACCACCTTAAATATACCTCTAGTCCACCAGAAGTGAACTGCATTCCACTAGCTAAAATGTCCAATCGCTGCGTTGAAACCATGCTTTCCTTTCCCCGTTTTCCTTTAGCTATTGCTTCAGCAACTGCCTCGAAGTCCAGTTTTTCACGAGCACGAACTGCTTCTGACATATTACTAGCAGCAGTAAACCCTGCAGAGCGAAGCCCTCCTTCATACTTTTCCTTGAGAAACTGCTCAAATCTTTCTTGCTTTGCAGGGTCATCTTTGAATGGTTTTGCAACTTCTGGCAACTTACTCTATAATAGAAAGAGAGCAGAAGTCTGAATTATGCAGTCTGTATAAACGATATGGTGAAGTGTAAAAGATAGAAAACTGAGATATAAGAAAATGAAAAAATTGAAAGAACCTGTAGAAAAAAGAAAATCTGGGATACTTTATCTGTATCACTTAGATGAAAACAGGGATAAGCAGAGAAGTATGGTACTTACAAATGAATTAGAATTTTGAAATGTATCAGAAAGGTTGAATTGAAACTGAAACTCCCCAGAAGCGACTGATGAGCTTGTGGTCTCTCTTGAGCTTCTTTCCAAAGGTTTTTCTCCTAATAATTTTCCACGGCTCTCTGCCGTCATCTTCTGCATACTTGGGGAAAGTTTTCCATCCAATAACAGTTTGGCTTGATCACCAAATTTCTGATGCTCCTCCCACAGTCTCCTTTCATAATAATCATGTCCATTTCCTCCAGAAAGAAAACTGAACAATGGATTTGACTGATTCTTCTTTCTGGAGAGATCCTCAAATAATTTACCACATCGAGCTACTAATTTTGCAACCCCCTCAATTAAGAGCTTCAGATTACAATCATCTGGGGGAAGAACCTCAGGTGGAGAGGGAACATCGAGCTTCTTCAGAGTCTCAAGAGGTCCAGGAAATTTGTGGTGTGGAACAAAATCCTTTGGGATTACGGGAGGATCAAACCTGAATAACAATTTGCAAACTGGTATTAACAATTCTGTTAAAGAAAAATACAAAGAAATATGACAATTTTTTTTTAAATCTCTACCAAACAGGATTGCAAGGAAATAGAATTGGTAAGGGTATGTACTAAATGAGACACAAAAGTTGAGCTACAAGCAAATTAACATAAATATTTATATGGTACATATTACACACTTCAAGTATGTGTACTATCATTATTTAAACAAGTATCTTTATTTCTTTTGGTTTTATTGACATTTCATTATACGATTAATGTGATACGGAAAAACCTAACTATTGATGTAGGAGACCCTACGTCCAAATAAACCCCACAAGGAAACCCATATTTTTCCCATGTGGGATCCAAGTCCCATACCTTGCAATTGGACACATCAATCCACCGTGCTCCGCAGTCCTAGTGTCCACGTGGGCTGGCTTTGCGCTAGCTTAATCTAGCCCTGGACGAACACTACAATATCGACACCAGCACCACACAATCGCAACTGTGAGACATGATGATTGGCTCTTATACCAATTGATACGGACCTTTGGAGAACCACTTCCCAAAAGTTAGCTATTGAAATAGCCTAGGTCCATACAAGCCCCACAAGAAAACTCATATTTTTCCCATGGGCATCTAAGTCGCATAGCTTGCAATTGGACACATATAATAACGAGTTCCACTTAAAAAATAATATTTTTTTTGATAGGAAAAGTAGGTCTCATAAAAACCTCCTTCTAAGTAGCCCTTACCATGAGGTCAGAACCTACTAGGGGAAGGAGGAATAGAGAACCTTAATATATTGATAATGTAAAAATTACATAAAACTAGAACCACTCCTTTAAGATACATAAAACTTAAGCACACTCTTATAACGCCTTGATTAAAAACCTCCGAACTCAGTACTAAAAAAGTGACCCACTACCCAATCCCCTCCTTTGCAAGCAAATCTGCCTCGCAATTACATCTTCTCGGAATCCACCTCACAATGACCTCATACTCAGAAACCGCATCCGCAATATCCTTGACAAAATTTAAAAGAAAAGGAGGAACTGACTCCTGATATTTCAACCACTCCACAGCTAGCTTGCAATCAGATTCAATAATAAGCCTTCCCTTCAATACCCATTCTGATGACACAAAGATGTCTATTCCTCTTTTGATAGCTTTTAACTCTGCTAAAATAATAGGAGTAGGCCCTATTTTTTCTGAAAACGACATCAATTTAATCCGATTCCAATCTCTAAGAATGCCCCAATTCCTGCTAACAACCCAACCCTACTAACTGCTCCATCCACGTTAAACTTAAAAAAATCGACTGGAGGAGGACTCCAGTAAACCACAGGCCTGTTCGAATCAAGAGAAGCTGAAATATTATCAGCCAATGAAGGATCACCAATTAGAGAGTCCACTTGAATAGAGGATAAAGGATACTTAGCTAGGAACCATTTCGCAAGCCTTAACCTGACTGTGAAAAACAATGAGGATGTGTCCAGCTTGCCTCTTTCAAAAACAATTTCGTTTCTCATCTTCCAAATCGACCATAAAACAGCCCCCGGAATAAACTTCCACATATTAGAAAATGGCCTAAGAACAGACCATGAAATTAGAATTGATGAAGGATCAGTAGGTAAGGCTAACTTGATACCCCAGTAGGCTATGATTCTGTTCCATAGTACCCAGGAAAACTGGCAGTAATAAACAGATGCTGAACTGATTCCTCTGCTTGATTGCAAAAGGGGCATAGAGAGTCCTCCCCTAAGTGAACCCCCCTTTTCTTCAATTCCCCTCTAACCGCTACTTTATTAAGTGATAGTTGCCAAAGGAAAACCTCTACTCTAGGAGGAACCAGACCTTGCCAAACACATTTGTTCCACCTAAAGTTATCCTCATCCACTGAGTAGAAAGATTTCGTGCAAGCTTTAACGGAATACAAACCCTCGCCCGCACCAACCCAAAGCATGCAATCCTCCAAAGATTCATTTAATTTGATAACATTGAGCTTGTCCAATAGATCAACCAGCTGAGCCACTTCCCAATCGCATAGATTCCTCCTAGTCTTAATATTCCACTCCCAACCATTCAAATCAAAACTACCAAATTCAGCAACCTTACCCCCTTGATTTGTTGACAGAGCAAAAATCCTAGGAAAAAGAACTTTCAATGGAAAATCCCCCAACCATGTATCTTTCCAAAAGAAAATCGAATTGCCATTCCCAACTTGTAACCTCGCATGAGATCTAATGCATCCTCCAAAGAAATCATCCTTCATGTAGCTATTCACAATACCTCTCCAAATCCAAGAGTCCTTATGGGAGGAGACTTTATTGACATCCATAGAAAGACAACTAACACTATGTTTAGAACATAAGAACTTTTTCCACAAAGATTCTTTTTCGTTGGCAAACTTCCACACCCACTTTCCCAATAGTGCTCTATTAATAAGCTTCAAATCAACAACTCCTAGACCACCTCCACACTTCGGTTTACAAATTTTATTCCAACTCACCCAATGCATTTTCTTCTTTTCTTCTCCTCCACCCCATAAAAATTCGCCATCAAAGAGTTTAATTTTTGACAGATTTTAGCTGGAATCTTGAAAATAGCGAGATAAAAGATAGGTAAAGAGGATAAAACCGACTTAATAAGCACCAATCTACCGGCCATAGACAAAGAAGAAGCTTTCCATCCCGCCAATTTCTTATCAAAGTTAGCTAGGACTGGCTCCCACAGTTTCTCACAGTTTCTTTTAGCCCCTAGCGGAAGGCCTAAATAGACTGTCGGAAATGAACCAATAGAGCAGCCAATGTCCCTAGCCCAAATTCTCAGTGTGTCCTCCTCCACATTAATACCATACAATTTACTCTTAACTAAATTAAGATGAAGCCCCGTCATAAAACTAAAAATCATCAACACTCGTCTAACGTTTTTAATTTGAGTGATGGAGGCTCGACAAAAAATAATTAGGTCATCCGCAAACTGAAGATGGGTCAAATTGAAACTGTTTTGCACATTTCCAAAAGAAAACCCTTGAAATAATCCTAATTCCACAGCTTTATTTAACATCATATGAAGGAGTTCACCAACCACATTAAACAAAAGAGGAGAAAGACTACATCCTTGTCGCAAACCTTTAGCAATATGAAACTCTTTTGTAGGAGACCCATTCAGTAGAATAGATATAGAAGCTGTAGAAATACACTTATTTATCCAAGAACACCACCTTAAAAAATAATATTTAATTTAATGTCCACGTTAATGTCGTCCCTTTTATTATTTTTCTTAGCATAAATATATAAATGAAGAATTCACACCTTTAAGAAAACACAAGTTCCACCAGCAAGCTATTAAAATATCCATCACCTATCCTTCTAATTCTTTCCTGTTTAATTAGCATTATTTTCACATACTATATTTTTCATTTGCCAAGTACTCCAGCATTATCCGCAGATCAATGACATAAGCACCAAGACCATTCTTAAAACTCAATTTTACCTACCACACTCGACAAATCCTACAAGATTTCCAAATAATTTCAGACTTAAACCCTTACCTGCATAATCCCCACCTTTCAAAAAATAAATAACTTACTTCATTTCTTCAGTATCAGTATTAAATTAAAGATTTTGGTAATGCATCATAACCCCCACTACCAAGGAAGAGGATATGTGAATGAAGAATTTACTCAGTTCCATAATGTGCTACAGGAATTACAGATGGCATATTACTTCTCCAAATAAAAAAGGCAAATTACAAATTCTATACAATGAGAAAAATGTGGCATCAAGCATGCAGCATCAACTACTTTACAAGTACCTTTCTAACTGGCAGACAGAAACTGATGCAATTTTGAAACCAGGCAGAACACCCTCATCTCTTGCAACCACCTTTTGTTTACTCTCTATGCTCAATCTTGATGGTTGTTTACTCTCTATGCTCAAACTTGATGGCTCTTCATCCTCTTCCATGCATGTTTCTTGAAAGTCGTAACCTAAGATAGGCAAATTAAACTAATAACCTCAGGATAAATAGGCAAATTAATGATACAATTAGTCCCCATGAATACCAGCAACTAATGAAATTTTTTGGCAGTCGTTATATTAACATCAAGAAGAGAAACATCAGTTTTCATCACAGTATGAAAAATAAGAAACATTCCACCAAGAGAACCTTATAGCTATAAGAAAAGGATTTCAGAATAGTTTTGAACACAAAAGCACAGATAGAGAAGGAATGTAATAGCACATTCTGAAGAAACATCTCCAATGAATGCATGCAGCTCCAAACCCTTCATTTGGAAAGGAGAAAAAAATGAAAAATGAAAACAGAAATGAGTTATTGACTCCCACATTGACCAATATAACTGATTTCTTCATATGGTAGCATTGGCGACCAGTTTTTCTAAGGGGAATAAAAGAAGACATGTGATTACAAGATGGAGGCTCACAAAAAGTGAACTTACCAGCAGCATAGATATCCTCATCTTCAGCATCATATTCTTCAAGTGCACCAATTCCAAATCCAGGAGCAGCTTTTCCTGCTGGTGTAGAATTAAATTCTATTAAGACATAATTCATGCATGCAAGGAAATATGGAGAAAGGTGAATCATTATAAAAATGCATGCACAAGGACTTTAAAAGACATGCTCGTTAGAAATTAGAACCTACACTTGGAACCAAAGAGACTATCTTTTAATGACATAGCTTTCCTGTACCCATGCTGCTTATCATTCGACAAGTCCAATCTCTTCTTTTCTGAAAGCATTTGCAAACAAAAGAAATAAAAATCCAGTAAGAAATAATTCCTCTTAGAATGATAGAAATGGTTAATAAACAGCGGTCTTTCAAGAAATCACATACCCCTGAATTCAGGAGCATGCTTGAATGGATCATACCCTAAACCATGCAAGTCCTGCTTAGGGTTGCACACAAAAGCCTGCAGCACAAAATAATTACAGAAAAATAACTTGATTGATTTCAAGGTGTCAAAAAACCGATCTCTCTCTCTAGATGTGTTTTTTTTTTTTTGGGGGGTGGGGGGGAGGAACAGTTGCAAATGAATAGAATTAGGACTGAACAAACGGGTAAGAAAGATGGAACTTCAGAAAACATAGGGTTATCTATTTACTCAGGAAAATAATAAGAATAATCATGTTGGCTATAAAGCCTAAAGCTTATTTATACAAGCTTTCTTTCTTGCAATTAAAGTTAGTAGGCTTTCTTGCAACTAAAGTTAGTAGGCTTTCTTGCACATAAAGTTTTTAATTCAAACCCTAGATTTGAACCCTAAAGATAACTAATAACATGAAAATATTTAATAGTTCTAACCTTATCTGTCTATGTCAAATAATTAATAAATATTATAAAATGAAACTGAAATAATAAAATATTATAACATAAATAAAGCTCCTACATCATTCTCCCAGGCTAGGAAAACTCAACTTCGACGATAAAAGTTCCACCGCTTCAGCATAATTTTTTTTTATCACACACTTTCAACTCTCCAACCACCCAAGAACTTTGACCAACTGTTTTGCCTACCTGCGTAACCAAAAATTTATTATATTGATTCCCCTTCTAAACCTAGCTTCTTTAACATTGACCACATCTTCCATAACCTCTGTCTTAGCTTTAGGAAGCTGCTGCACCCAGTCAGAAATTTCAGCAACATCATATGGACCCTTCATCACAGAAGCAGTATACTAAAATCTTTCTAGGCCCCTTTTGTTTAAGACAGGAAGGATAGTTGACTTAGTTTGCTTATATTTTTCTAACTCATTCTGTGGAAGGTCACCAAAAATAGAATCTGGGGGAGTCTCCTAAGAGATGCAAATGTTTAATAGTCCGAGAAACTTAGGTTGAACAACATTTTCCAAGACCATGAAAACAATCACAGAAAAAAAAACTCCAATCTCTACTTTCAGGCCAACTCGAATCCTTGACACCAAATTAATTGAAATGGAGCAAGAAAACTGAAAAACAATCATAAGAGTTGAAGAACTGTTCCTCAATAGCACTAGAGATGAATATTGCTTTATGGAACCTAAAAACCACACACAAGTGTTGTCTCAGAGTGAAAATGTCATTCAAACCACTTTCATGAATTTCATCCACTAGCAACTGACTTTCTTGAAAAACAAATAGAACTCAATTTACAGCAAAAACTTTCATGTTGTTTGCTGGTAGTTTTCTCTAAAAGACTGCATCGTCTTCTCATCATTATTAGCCTTCAAGTATTCTTGCTCTTTTTATTCCACAATCATCATCTGACATTGTGTCCTTTGAGATATCAAAAAGATTTCAGACTCACTTCCAATCCTCCCCTTCTTTTGAGGCTTTGGTTGTCGTCACTCTATGAAAAACCAAAAAACTCTCTTTAAACCAGATACACATCAACTTCTTCAGTTTCCTCAAGATATTCATCATAGATTGGTACTAACATATCATAATCTTTCTCGTCCAGATGCATCTTGCCATGAAAAGCATTAACTTCAATGTTAATTGCACACTCTCTTAATTCAAGGTCATGCACCAATTGCCCCTCCAATCCACCTCAAACTGCACGATTGCAGGTACAACATCATGGAAGGGGTTTTCTACATCATCACAATTAGATTTATAAACAAGCCTCCCTTCCAGTATGTTAAACTGGTTGTGGGCTGCTCCTACTTGTTCATGCCACAGTCGAGCATAAATTGCATACAACAATTCCTCATTAGTACATTGTACTGCAGCCAATTCTATTTCCTGAGTCCTGACACTAATTTCCTCTTCCTCAACCACTAACACATCCAATAATGGCTTAAAAGCAAACCCAAGGATCTAATTAGGCTATAAAATTACTAGGCTTTCTTCCAAATAAAGTTTTAATCCTAGCAATAGATTTAAACCCTACATCAATAACCCTAAAAATATTTAATAGTCCTGGCCTTAGTCATCTATCATATGTCCAATAATTAATAAATCTTATAAGCTTAAACTGAAAGAATAAAATAAATAAAGCTCATGCATCATCTCTTATTCAAGCCCACAAAAGCAAGCATATTAATAGCAATTTTAACCTCCAAAGCTTAGGAAGATGGTAGTTGCAAATTCTAGTATATATACATATGTACCAAACTTAAACACTACATATATTCTCCCCCAGCATTACAAATGAAAAAATAAATAAAATATCCTTCCACTATTTCAACATTCCCACAAATGAAGCAAGATTTAATGGGCCAAGAGAATCTACTTATAAGCTTGTTATAACACAACCCCCCTCCCAACACACATTATTATAAACCACTTTCACGGTTAGGTAAAGGGTCATAAAGATCAAAGCAAGAGTAATGATACTGGTAACAAGGAGAACTTCTCACAGGTAAGCTTTGAGAAGACCGTGTATCATTGTCAGCAGGCTGTACAGTGAAGCTTTCAGGTTCTTCAACAGGCTCATCAGCAGGATTTGGTGCCTTCGCATCCTCAGAAGAAAATGCTAGAAAAGCTTTTCTAGCTTCTCTACGAGCACCTGTAGTAAATATAAAGATAAGAATATTCAGCCAGAAATTTATCCCCTCAAATACAAAAGTCTCACACAAAGAAAAGCATATAAACATCGATCTTTGCTATATAACATAATGGAATCAGCAAGTACATGAAGAGGGTCCCATCAATAAATAGATCGAAGTCAATATAGTTATTTTTTTAAGAGGTGTGAAGATAGGATAGCAGCTTAAGACTGAAAAATGGTAAAGAACAAACAGTTGAAAATCTAATAATTCATCGTATTATCATGGAACATGTAGGTCTTAATACATTTAAATTGTATGTTTAACCTATGTTGCTCGGACTCAAATATGCATCTAGGTGTCCAACTCGTCAATTGAATTAAACTCAAGTCAAAGGAATACGACACAAAAGGAATCGAGAGGAAACAGGTACAAGGACTCCTTTTATATGTACTGAAATATGAAATATGTCTATAATACATCAATATTTTATATATAAAACTACTTCTAAATAATGGAGTGTATTTAATTAACAATTTTTTTTATACTTTATATACTACTTTCCACTTCAAAAACCAAGACTTCAACCTATTCTTATCTCTTCTCGCCCAGTCACCAAGAGTCCAACAGATCCAACCCATATCCCATACCCTTATCTTATCCTTTTTGTGTTGTGTCAACAACTCGACATGGGTGAGGCTCCCATTTTGTCGAGTCCAAGCAGCAGAGGGTTTAACATAAAGCTTCTCAAAATAATTCTGCCAGAAGAGCTAGAAATCGGACAATATGAATTAAATACAATGTGAACATAAACCAAATTACCATATAATGAAGTAGCATGCGAGTCATTGATTGCACGGCCATGTCGCCATCCCATCTTCCGTAGTAATTTTAAACCTTATCAGAAAAGTAAGATGAGCTCTAAGTTGCTGATTTCTCGGCTAAACTACTTGGTCGCTAAGCATTCATAAATTCATAAATCACAGCAAACCTATAGACTCAGAAGCTGGAAGGACAAGTTCGTCGGGAACAGGACCAGGAATTGCAGATGGCCTACAGGAAACACAGAGAACTAAGAAGCCAGTATATAATTGAAAATATTTATGTAAGTACAAAGGACATGCAAATCAAACAGTTTGCAGATGCATGATTGCACATGCCATGAGATGCAAATTCATGAGCACACATGTCCACAGTGAAGAAGAAGAATTGATAATAAAGGTGGTCTTGAGGATGTTGAACAATGATAATAATGATTATGGTAATGAAAAAAGATGTCATCAAGAGACCGATACCAAATAACATGAATATTGGTGTGATATGAGACATTGGCTGCCTTAAGTCAGGAATAATAGTTTTTTTTTTTTGATAAAAAGGAAGGCCTCATTAAAAACCCCCTTCATAACCGTCAAGCAACAAAGACTCAACGGACATTGGAAGGAGGAAAAGTGTCTTTGAAGTTTTATTGCATATTAACCAAGTACGATAAGATCACACTACCATCCAAAAACGATGGTATTCCACTTAACACAATGCAAAACAACACTTCCTACGCAAATAAGTTTATACCCTACAACAAAACAACCTCATAGGTTAATCAACCAATTACAAACAAATATAATTCCCTAATGATCCCGATATACCAATAATAGACAAACAACAACCCAATTTAATCCCCATCATTTAACCAATCCCTTGTTTGGCAAATTCATCCGCTTCACAATTAGCTGCTCTCGCCACATGACGGATAATGACCCCTTTATTGACCACAATGTCTTCTATATCTTTAACAATTGATAGAAAGATTGGAGTGGAGCTTGCTTGATTTTTTATCCACTTCACCGCCATAGCACTATCAGACTCCAAAATAAGCCTTCGATTTAGCAACAAATCCGACTCCAGGAACAGGTTCAAGCCTCTCCTCACTGCCATCAATTCTGCCATAATAGGAGGATCGGATCCCACTTTTTCTGAGAATGAACCCAACATCACTCCTTTCTCATCTCTGATAAGACCACCAATTCCTCCCTTCGACCAACACCTGTCCATAGCACCATCTACATTCAATTTAACAAAACCAATTGGAGGAGGAGACCTACTGACTACCTTTTGTGATATTCTTTCAGCAGACATAACACGATCAGCTAGCACCAGATCCCCCACAAGACTATCAAAAGAGACCATCAATTTAGGAAATTTTGAAGAAAATCATGATGCCACTCTCTACCTTGTTAGAAAGGATAACAAAGTGCAATCTAATTTCCCTTTATTAAAAATAATATCGTTCCGCATTTTCCAAATTGACTACAAAACCGCTCCTGGTATGAAGGTCCAAACGCATGAGCGAGGCACAAGATCAAACCAAACAAAAAATAATGCTATAGGGCAGTCTGGAATTGCAAAGGAAACATCCCACCGGTGCAAAAAGCTAGACCATAACCCCCAAGACACTTTGTATGAAATGAATAGATGAAAAACCGTTTCTTGAACCAGCCCACAGAACGGACAATAAGGATCTCCTATACCTTGCACCCCACGTTTTATTAGCTCTACCTTGACCGCAACCTTCTTGTGAACCACTTGCCAAATAAAATATTCAACCTTAGGAGGAGCTACACCGGCCCAAACATTTCATTCCCAGGGAAAACTAGAGAACGAGTTCCCAAGGAATATTTCAAGACAAGATTTCACTGAAAACCTCCCATCTCCTTCTCCCACCCATACGAGACTATCATCCATCGTAGACGAAGGATTTAAATTATACAGCAATGCCATAAGCTCATTTCATTGCATCAACTCCCAATTGGCAAGATTTCTCCTCATGGCAATATCCCAGAAATAGCCTGACGAATTAATTTTCCTGAAATCGACGATCTTCCCCTCCTTGTTGATTAATAATGTAAACAAACGAGGAAAACGTACTCTCAATGAAACACCGTCCAACCAAGCGTCATGCCAGAATCTTATTGAGTCCCCATTGCCCGCCTTCAGCAGATAGTTGCTTCGCAAACATACCCCAAACTCGTCATCGGAACAACAATTCTTCACAACCCCTTTCCATATCCAAGAAGCTTTGTAAGAGGCCGAACCATCCACCCCTATAGTATTCGGATGAATATTGTTTTTGCAACAGATGATCCTTTTCCACCAGGAGTTTTTCTCGTTTGCAAACTTCCAGGTCCATTTTCCTAATAAAGCTCTATTCATAAGCTCAAGATTTGGAGCCCCAATCCCTCCCAACGCCTTAGGCTTGCAGACAATCTCCCAATTAACCCAATGAATTTTGTTTTTAATACTCTACTTCCCCCAAAGAAAATTTGCCATAATTGAGTTGAGCCTCTTCAGAACACACCTCGGTAATATAAAAATCGACATGAAGTATATTGGTAAGGAGCAAAGGACCGACTTAATCAACACCACTCTACTAGCAATGGACAGGGAGGTAGACTTCCCTCCGGTTAATTTTTTGTAAAACTTTTGAATAATCGGATCCCAAAGAGAAACTGAGTATTTCTTCGGCCCAAGAGGAAGCCCCAAGTATTCCGTTGGAAGAGAACCCACTGTGCACCCTATTGTAGTTGCCCACTCTGAAATAATCTCGTCATTGACGTTGATACTGAATAACCTGCTCTTTGAAAGATTAATCTTCAATCCTGACATCAACTCAAAAATCAGAAACACCCTTCTCACATTTTTCAATTCCCCAATAGATGCATTACAAAAAATCAACAAATCATCTGCGAATTGAAGCTAAGATACCTGAAAAGAATCTCCTGGACTCCCAATCTCAAAACCTCTAAACAAGCCTAACTTCACAACTTTCGACAACATCAAGCTCAACAGTTCGGCAACTAAATTGAAAAGGAGTGGTGAAAGAGAGCACCCTGACGAAGACCCCTCGCAATCCGAAATTCATCTGAAGGAGAACCATTTACCAACACCGAAATGGAAGCAGTAGAAACACACATATTCATCCAAGATCTCCATCTCTGACCAAACCCCATGCAATCCATTAATTTCAATAGCAAATTCCAGTCAATTGATACATACGCTCTTCTAAAGTCGACCTTAAACGCTACTCCTTGAAGACCATTCCTTCTCCAACAGTCGATTCCCTCATTCGCGATAAAGGAACAATCCGTGATTTGCCAACCCGGAATGAAAGCAATTTGGGAAGGGCCAACTACTGCATCCATACATTGGCTTAATCTTCTAGATAACACCTTTGAAAAGATCTTATTTAGTCCACCCACAAGGCTTATTGGTCTAAAATCCTCAACATTTTCCGAATTCGATTTTTTCGGGATTAAGGTAATGAATGAATGATTAGCCCCTTTTTCCCAAATTTTCTCTGCATAAAAATCACAAAAAAACTTCATGATGTCATCTTTTAGTTCCTGCCAAAACTTTTTGAAGAACCCCATTGTCAATCCATCTGGTCTCGTTGCCTTATTGCTATCCGACGACGAAATTGCATCCCAAACTTCTTCCACTGAGAAGGGTCTTTCTAGAAACAAATTATGATCCGTTGATATCCTGGAGAAATTAAACTCCAACGCCTCCACCTCCACTATAGTGTTCTTATTGAACGCTTCTTTGAAATATATAACCACATTAGCTTTAATCTCATCCAGATCCGAAGTCAAACGTCCCCCCACTTTAAGCACTTTAATAGCATTCACCCTTCCTCTGTTTGTGGAAACACATATGGAAAAATCTAGTGCTACGATCACCCTCCAAGCACCACCTAACACGTGGTTTCTGTAACCACACTGCCTCTTCTTTTTTGTATAGATCCCAAAGCTTCCTTCTAGCTGGAACCAAAGATTCCATAGAGATAGTAGTGGAACCTTGTTGCATTTGCAGCTCCGATTCGTGAATTATTTTTTCCAACTCCACAATTGATCGTTGCGTATTGCTGAAACCATAGTCACAGAAATCGCTCAACAGCCCACGATCTACGTACCGTACGCTGCGATCCAAAACATGGTACAAACGCGTCAAAATCGCAATTCGGTACGACGATCCAAAATTGACTATGGAATGAGCTATTCATCGTTTTTTTTAGATTTCGAAGGTATTAAGTGTGTGTGTGTGTGTGTGTGTTTATTTTGAAAGAAAGGAAAAGAAAAAACCGCAAACGAGATTCACCCATCAACCATTATTTTGCAGCAAAAATAAAAAAAAAATACGAGAGAAAAAAAAGAGAAAGGAAAAGAGAAAGATGAAAGCTTATCTGCTTTAGGCGTCAGAAAACTCGAAGGTCGCCGCATTCAAAAGGGGTCGAGAGGTAATTTCTTAGATCTAAAGTTCTTTTTCTTGGTTTTTGGGGAAAAGGGTTGTAGATCCAAGTTTAGGAGGTTGAGAGGGTTGTTTTGGGCCTTTTATGTCAAGTTCCGACCGTCGTGGATCACGCCGTTGAGTGGCGGTGCTCTCTCTATCGATAGAGAATGCAGAGAACTCCCAAGTTCTTTTTTTATGGTTTGTTGAACAAAATGAAGGCTTATGGTTTTCTGAAACCCAAAAAAATGATTTATATTACTATGGATACATCTTTTAGAACCTGATTCTAATAGGGGTTTAATCACGTAAAGGCTCCCTTTAGTTTCAAGTTGTGTTTTGGTCCTTGCTCAGAGGTTCTGTAACTTTCCAATATGGTTCTTAAGTTTTACATGCATTTCATTTCGATCCCAAGTTTTTTTTTTATTTATGTTGTTTCAGGCATTTGACCTTCAAGTTTTGCATGTTCTATTTTAGTTATCTTTATACATTAGGTGGCAATATATACACACACTTAATACCTTCGAAATCGTGTTCTAGAGCGATCCGAAAGTAGTCTACCCCACCTCGTACCGAATTTTAGGGACCTAGCGAATTGCGATCCCGTTCCACGTTCCCGTACCGAGCGTACCGCGATCCATGTGACTATGGCTGAAACTGTCTTTTGACCATTCCTTCATTACCGGTTTGGAGCTTTTAAGAATATTGTATATTCCTTTCCTTTTACTACCAAGCCTTGCTCTCTGGAATTCCTCGACCATTCTATCTTTGAAGCCATCTTCGTCCAGCACGTAATTGAACAATCTGAAAGGTTTCAGCCCCCAATCCACGCCTTTACTTTCCAAACTAATTGCATTGTGGTCCGATAATGATCTCATGAGCAAAATCTAATTCACAACTGGGAACACCGACAAGAAGTTAATATCCACTAAAAACCTGTCCAATCTGACAAATGTTGGACAATCCCTATTATTGCTACAAGTAAAGTTACCACCCGCCATAGGGAGATCATTCAGGTTAGCCTTTTGAACAAACTCATTAAAGATTGTCATCGATAACCTGTTATGACCTCTCTCAATTTTCTCTTCTTCTGAGAGGTATGCATTAAAATCTCCTCCCAAACAAATAGGACCTTCCAATTGCCACACAAAGGCTAACAATGCCTCAAAAAAAGATTAATTTTCCATATCAACAGACGCTCCATAGACGTTAATGAACCAACAAGAAATAGACATTTCTTTCAGATTACCTTTAACTGCAATAAACCTGTCCTGTACATATTCAATCTCCACCTCCAATTGACTTTCAGCCCAAAGCATTAACAATCCACCTGATGACTCGACTGTCGGAGAATTTACAAACCCGTTCCTCCTCCTTAAGGAAGGAATGATACTCTCCAACTTCGTTCCTTGTATGAACATAAGCGTTGGCCTCTTCCCTACGATGATATTCCTCACAGCCCTAGACTTTTCTTTCCTGCCCAACCCCCGCACATTCCATGTTATCATACTAAAACTCGACATAAAAAGAAAAGAAAAAACACCGACTTCCCACAGAACATCAGAGTCCATCCGATATCCTCTCTTCCTCAAACACTGCCTTTGTTTTTTCCATGAAAGCTTTTTTTCCTCCTCGGAATGTAACACCCATCAAGTTGCTTACTTCCCAACTAGCCCGAGCTTTTTCCTCCTCATCTGAACAATGCCCTAAGGACTTTGATTTTTCCTTCATTTTCTCTCTCGAATTTCTCATTCCCCTGCTTCTACTATATACTCTGTTATAGGATTTATTTCCGATTCTGCTGGATGACGCCTTCCTTTCTATTGATCGACCACGATTTGGAGGAGAGCCCACTGACCTAAAATTCCAGCGAGCATCAAGCTAAATCGAACCTCCTTCTATGTATCCTAGAGCAGTCCGCAAGTTGGAAGTATTTTTGATAGGAGAATTATATCTGATAGACGCGATCTCACAATCTCGAGTATGCTCGTTATTCTCCTTATTTGAACCCGACAATTTCTGCATCATTAGGTTTTCACAATTGTCCTGCTTAGTAATATCCACCTCCATCGAATTTTGATTTCTCGGAACCAGTTCCTCAATATTACCGGAAATAAAAGCAAGGACGCCACCTGTCAACAAATCTGGATCACACAGAACCATACTCGCCTTGTTCATCACTCCAACCTCTTGGGCAACAAAGTCCCTCAAAACCCCCTCAACATCACACCGATTATCCGGTGATTCTTCAACTCATTCATCAGAAAAGTCTCCATCGCTCTCCTCATTCGTTACCTCTGAATAACCATCAGTCGGCAGCTCAACTCGAACTTTTATCACGTATATCCTACCATTGGTGTTTATTGAAATTGACTCTGGGAGATCAAACGGACTACCCACTGTAATCACCATCTTTGTTATTGTGCAGTCCAGCATCATCAAAGTTTTCTTCCTATTCTCTATTAACTCCCCCCACCGTGATGCTAGGCTTGAAAAGAAGACCTCATTCCAGCAATTTAGAGGAACTCCAATTAACGAAACTTCACAAAAGGCCAAAGGGCCTCCTCCTTCCGATAATACTGGTCTCAACCAATCGAACCAATAGTTAAGCTCCAAGGCATTTTCACTCAGGGCCTTCAACTTGTCCTCCTCCAACAGAAAAGTAACTAGGCAGGAGTTCCTGGCGTACCCCACTTCGCAACATTAACGACAATGCCTTCACTGTGTAACGCTCTCTGTATTAATTCCACGTCGTACGATTGCTTATGAATACCTGTCATCGACCTCCTTAACCATTTTCTTTCTTCCACCGAAATGAAAACATATGGCTCTTTCGCATATCTCCCCTCATTTGCTTGTTCGGCACCAAAATATCTTTGTTCGATCTATTATCCCTGTAGCTTCCTGAATACTCTCGTGTTTTCCTCGAATTTCCTACCGTGTCACCACCATTCTTCTCTGCAATCCTCTGAACGTTTCGGTTAACCTCTACCTCCTTCCTAAATCTCTGATATTTGGCGACCCCCACAGAAACTCTCAAACCATCAATCCAGGTTCCATTGATTTTCTCAATGGCATTCCTCATTCCATTTTCAGTCGCAAGCTGGACGAACGCAAATGTAGACGTTTTATATCTTGGTTTATTTAAGACATTCGGGATAAAGATCCTAACAACAACACCATGACACAGGAACAGATCCCTTAAATCTCTTCTAGTTACTCTCTTGGAAAGGTTGTTGACAAAAATTGTCCATTCTTCAGATGAGGAAGAACGACTTTTCATATGCCATACCACTCTTTCTCGATTCTGCTCACTCATATTGAAACGCAGCAACCAAATCTTAGACTAATCCACCACCCAACGTACAAACAGCAGCAAAGAAATCCTATGCGCTTCCAACCACCGACAATAATGTCTGACGATGAAACCGGCTGCAATGGACTACCGTTTCAGACAGATTCTAAGCGGACAGCCATGAGAAAATATAATGCAATAAGTTTGTGCTGAAAAAGTCAGTTGAAAGATCGAAAAAACAGAGGAAACAGAGTGGCAGCTAAGGTTTCGACAAGGCTTGAACGGCTTTTGTCCGGCAGACGACGGTTCTTTTCTACAAATCAACAGAGGGGTTTTTGTCGGAATGCACCGGCGGTTCAAATGGGAAGGGAGGTGAAGAGCACCACTGGCCGGGGCAAGGAGGATCGGCTCCGATGGGAAATGGTCGGTAATAGGCTTTCTAGGGCAGATCTGCGCAGATTTAGTGATTATCTTGAAAAAATAATCTCGGAAATGGATTCAGTGAGACCAAGCGAAGTTCCCTGTTAAAAACAGTAGCAAAAGGTTGTCGAAATGTGGTGGCGGACGGTGGACGGCGGACCAAAATATGATATCAACAGTTGAGTGTTCAGTCAAACCCACGTGACTTTTTTTTAAAAAAAACTAGAATCTAGAGAGAAGCGAGACATTCTCTCACTAAAGAACCAAACATGGAATTGAAGCACCATAATAATAGTCAGGAATAATAGTAATCATATGAAATGTTTTCATATCCAACCAAATGAATTCAAAAGTCTTCTTCAGAAAAAGTAGGAGCAAAATGGAACAAGAGATATTGGGTTGGACTCAATAAAATGAAAAATTAATTCATTTGAAGCCAAAAAATAAGTCTTGATAATGGCAAAAACAAACAGTATTTTACGAGCACTTAATTTTCAAAATATGGATTTCTATTGAGAACCAAGACCCTGAACAAGTTGCAATTTTAAGACTCATATTTAATGCTAATATTATTACTGATAAGATGCACATACAAACATTTGACAGACCTTTGTTTTTGCTCCTTATCAGCTTGTTTGCGAGCATACTCAGCTGTTGTAAATCCAAATGTGTCAAACTGTGAAGATGTGCCCAAAGCACCTTCCAATTCCTAAAATACAAAAGCATGAACTATCGTAAACTAAAAAATAATCAGCATCGTCGTAATAATAATAACAATAATAATTCTAACAGGTAGAAAAAAAATGAAAACATCTTATCAAACCCTTATCATCTATCTATAAATGTAGATGAGAGGATGATGTAATTAATAAACTGATTCTTGTTCAAACACCAACAATGTCTTAAAAGACAAAATATTGAGAGGCACATATAACAATAATCAGTGAACACATTGAATAGGTAGTAAAACTACTTTCAAAGACTTGTATATGGAAAAAGCATGAAATGACCATCCAGCTCAGTTGGTAGAGCACAAGGTTCTTAACCTTAAGGTCGTGGGATCGAGTCCCATGGAGGGCATTTCATAATTCGGAGGTCTCCTACGGAAGCTGCACTCAACCTAGTGTTGGGGGCAGCCTACTATCTTACCTCCCCCTTACCCCATTACATATTGGAACAAGGGACAATCATCATTATGAGCTACACAAAATATCATGTAAATATCTCTGTTAGAGAACTTTTCATTAATGAATGCACAAAACGGATGTTTTAAAACATATATGTGAATTGGAAAGATGCTTTAGCATTTATCCCTTCTTTCGATGCATATGAAAGGTTTAAGCAGCAATTTAGTAGATAGCAGGAAACATTGATAACCATGAAACCATGTCAGAGTTGTAAAAGTACATAAAGAGAAAAAACTTTAAAGATATACTAGAAGTAGGTGCACCATACTGGCAAATATGCATTAAATCTCAGGCACATATGAATTATAAAGAAATCGTGCAACTCAATCTATGCAAATATCAGACCAATATATATGCATATAAATTCTTCACAGTGAAATAACAAATTATCCTAAATAAAAGTACAAACATAAGTATTGCTGAAAATTAATAGGACAGACATGTTTCCATAGCTAAACTTCAAAATCATGAAGGTCTAAAACTTTATTGGATGCCACACGTCAGAGTTTGACTTTGGAATTTCTGATTTAGCAAAGGCAGCAAGAATTTTTCAAAAAAAAATCTAAACTAGATTGTAAAGTATTAAGGAAATAACCAATCAAATGTAATTTTGGCATAGAGCATGTCAAAACCTAACAGAAACAGTAACGCCCCTATCTGCAGTAAGAAAATCATAAAAAATGGGAAAATTAAATAGAACATACAGTTTTCTCATCTTCATCTAAAAAGCTGAAAATGCTCTGCTGTTTGACTTCAGCTCTGTTCTTCCGGGATGATGTAAATGATTGTGGGGCCCAACCTGCAAATAAGTTTCAAAACCCATTGGGCATGCTAGATGATTTCATTGCAAGTGAATGGAAGAAATCTAGTTAAAATGAATAAAGAGACATACCCTCTTTCGTGCCCACTGTATTGAAGTAACCAGCAGAAAATCCACCTGTAAATGCACCATGGAATCTTCTACGTCCTTCTTCATCTCTAACCTGGAAAATTATAATTCAAAGATGATAGAAAGGCTTTCGACCATGTATAACTAATAAACACTTACATGATTACATAATATACCTTATCTATATTATTTTATAATGGAAGTCAAAGATTTATTGAAGTATGGATAACGCCACAAGAGTAACACATAAATGTTCTCTTCATTTTAAAGCAATTCCAAGACAGTTTGTTTAGAATCAACTGGAAGGAATGCGAAATCCATAAAAGGCTTCCAGTCTGTCAAGGAACTGATTTAGCTTCAAATACAACCTAAAAGGGAACAATTCTCTTTGATAATGATATGTATCCAATTAATACAAAGAAACCTAAAAAAAAGCAAGCAGGTATAGATACATATATAACACTTATTTATAAAGAAAAAGTAAAAAGTCAAGTTTCATCCGCTTTCATCCCTGATTTCTTAAATTTTTTCCCCAAAATTTTCACGGATTCCAAACAGTGTCTGAAAGTCACAACTTCTGCCTTATGGGAAAAAAGGATAAAAAACCGGGGATAGGTTCTAGGAAAGTTCAAATTCCTCACTTATAATCTCAACAAGAAAATTTTACCAAAAAACCAAAAGGAGGATGAAATTTGTACCTCTTGCTTCCAGGGAGGGAGGGCGCGGAGGTTACCAGAAGCTTCAGCGGCGGCTTTTTTCCGACGGTTGGTGATCTCTTCCTCCCGCTGAATGGGTGTACCAAAGAACACGAAATCCTCCTCGTCTGAATCCATAGTTTCTTTTCCTAATCGATTGATTTAAGTGTCTAAATGAGAGAGAGAGAGTAAAAAAATATGGGCAAATGGCGGTTGATTGATTAAAAAGGGAATTATTTTGAGGGATTGCTGAGCTCCTGAAAACTCAGATTGCAGTAGGGGCCCGGTATCCCTTCCCAGATTATGAAAGGCCGGGCCCTGGCACCAAGACCCAATTCAGAGGGAACCAGACAACAAGCAGGTTGAGTCGGAGTTTTTGTTAATTTAATCTGACCTAAAATATATATATTTTCATTTGAATTTAAAATTAATCCGAATATAATATTTTTTTCTATCCGAACTCAATTCGATCCGATTTTTTAAAGTATAAATTCGACCTGATCCAATCCAACATAAAATAAACACCTAATTATAAAAAATTATAGAGAGAAGGGAATTATAACAATTATCCATACATTTATATGAAATAATTATAATATTAATCTCGGGTCGGGTTAAATAATTTTCACTCTCCACTCGAACTTAACCCAACCTTTCCGCCCCTATATAAATTCAATCCAACCTAGCCCGATTTTTTTTTTAAATCCAATCCTATTAAATTAGATCATAGATTAAATTACCTATCTCTGGCAACAATGGCTCATAGTGGAATGTTTCCTTGGGCAGTAACATCTCAGTAGCAAAATCAATTTTACTCACTTGGGCCTGACATACACGACCAACACATGTGTTTCTAGAGTGTCTTGTATATCAGTTATATTATACGATAACTAATTTAAAGTTGGTTTCAAAACGATTTTCAATCTAAAATATTTTTATATTTAACTTAAAAGATTATATAAATTTATAATATTTTCGGTTGTAACTGAAAAATTACATTACGGAATTTAAAGCTTATAATCGAAAATATTATGAAGTATAAAATTTTCAGTTACAACTGAAAATGTTACTATGTACAATCTAAAAAGTTACGCTCTTGATAAGAAACCAATTGTTTTGTCGTATTTTAGCTTTATATTAACAAGTTGTATTTTAGAATTTTCATTATTTATGACATGACTTTGTAAGGGTAACAATGATGAAGATACCAAAATAGGAATACAATCATAATTCAATGATTAAATATATAATTTATTATTTTTAATTAACATGTATATTTGTTTGGAACTTTAGATCATATATTCTCTTTAAGTAGGTTGATTTAAAACTCAAATTATTTTGGATTAATCGGTCAATATATCAGATATCAATGATTAATTCAAAAAAAATCATATTATTTGTTTAAGTTCTAAAATATTTAATATGGCTTGCATCTCACTTAAAAATGTTATTTAATATAAAAATATAGAAAATCTCATTTCAAGTCAGATTAAAATTGATATTGACACAAACTTTAGATTATTTAAGTATGACATAATAATTGTGAAATAATTATTCTAGGAAAATCATTGTTATCAAGGTTTCATGCAAATTACAAATGTGAATATTGTCTTGAAAGGGTGGAATGGAACATCCCATTATCATATATTTTTGGGTAAACTATAATGGAATTCATTTTTATTTGGGGTTCTTTTGAGTTTGAACACTAAATTTTGAAAAGTAACATTTCAGTTACTTACGTGATCGACTTGTTACACTTTGATCATTGAATCGTTAACTCATGTTACATTGATGATTTGTTGTGTTAACAAAAATAGTTAATATATAATTTAACCACTGAACTTTAAATAAAATATCAACTTGGCCCTGTCATCTTTCTTCACCTCATCGCGCCTTCTACATCATCAATAATCACTTCCTTCAATCATTGACGATGTCAAACCAATTCTCTCGTCATCCACTTTTTTTATAGATTGTATTAACTCGAAACCATTTGAAAATCCGTAAAAGTAAACCTAAAGTTTGTACTTCTCATTTTCCAAATCTAACTCGACAATCCAGATTAAAATCAGAGTCGACTCTAATATTTTTCTCATCAAACAAATGATGTCTCTAAGCCTCTTAACTGGGTTAGGCTAAAGCTTGCCTTATTCTTCCTCTTCTCTACTCTTTTTTTTATTTGTTTCTTTATTTTGATGTTAAATCTTTATTTGTTTGTTGAGTTTATTGAATTTGATTGTGTGCAAATTTAATTTGGTTTTTATCACCACCGTCAATTGATCAACGAACCTACAAAACTCACCCCACAATCAACATAACATCATCAGTTCCCATTCTTCTCCATTTTCAATCATCAAATCTTTCATCATATACCATTTTCTAAACCATAACCAAAAACATCCCCAAAACCATCACCAATACCTCTTCTAGAAAACCAAATAATCCTTCTTACTTGAAACTCAAACCTACCCTAAACCTAAATATAAGACAGAGAAACAAAAAAGAAAGAGAACAACTCGTTATCTTTACCTCGTTAGAGTATTAAATTTCAGAGACTTTCATCGTGAATTCGAATGGTGAGACGATGGAAGATGTCATAGAGAAAAACATAGTTTTGATGGGGTCCCATCGAACTATCAACCATAATAGATTGATCATGTTGGCTTTTGTTTTTTAGGTGGATTTTTGTAGGCTTTGACGATTCTTTATTTAGATCATAAATCGTGCATTAGAAAGAGGTTGAGAAAAGAAATATTTTGGTGTCATAAGTAGCCAAAGGAAATACTAAACGACAGTAGGTTTAATAATGTTAATGAAAAGTGACGATTAGGATTCTTGGGAGAGAATGAAACAAAGAGAAAGAAGAGAAGACAAAGAGGTTGAGAGAGTAATGAAAAAAATGGAAGAGATAGATTTTGTTGGTTCCATCATCAGTAGGAAAAGGTGGTTGAAGAAACATCGACAGTAAACAACGATAACGTTACTTTTAAACATTTAATAATCAACCTCTGTCACAACCTATCATATCAAATATAACAAATCGACAATGTAAATGCCCGAACATTACTTTTAAACATTTAATAATCAAGACATGAGAAAATCCAAACAAAAGTAACCTCTGTCACAACCTATCATATAGTTTTTATAATTATTATTTTTATCATATAAGGATTCAAATAAGTTTCATAAACGATGAGTAAGCATATTTGATCAGTTAGTCAAGCTGCTCATATTTGTTCTCTCGTATTTCCTTAAGTCACGAGTTGTAGATCCACCTAATTTAAATATTTCAAAGCTCGTTACAAGTAGTTCACAAACTTAATTAATATTCTTTTGATATATATATTTTATTTAAATTAATACTAAATGAATTCTAACTCGAATTCGAACTCAATCACCTCAAACAACTAGGTTGTATTAGTTCCCGAAAAAGATAATTATCAAGGGGAATAATCTTTTCCGAAATTGCATTTCCATGTTTGGTTCATGAAAAATATAATTACCAGATAATAACTTATTACCGATAGTAGCAATTTTTGGTTAAAATTGTGTAAATGTTATTACCTCCAAATTCCTAGGTATTACACAATGTGCAACTTTGCACAATAATACCCTCGAAATAAGGATTTTTTTTCTTCATATGGATCATTATCAATTCTATTATTCGTGTTTTACTCAAAACTATAAATATAATAATAATAATATATAAAAAGTTTGATTTAATAAAATATTAATAAATTTGAGTTAACCTTATTTTATATTTTTAATATTTAATATATTAATTATTTATAATTTTATAAGGTAAAAAGTGATATTATTGTAAAATATGTAATTATTTAAAATAATATCTAACTTTGAGTTATTAAAAAAATAGATCTTATACGTTAAAAAATAATATCTTTGACCACTCGAGACTATGATAATTATTTTTTTCATATTATATTATATTTTATTTAAGTAAATATCATACTTAAAATTTAAAAATATAAATTTGATATACTAATTATATGCTAAATGTATTTTTTTTCTCAAAAATTAGATAGTATAACAATTAAAATATTTTATAGTTTTTCATTCAAATATTTATAAGTTAATATTAAAGTTTAACTTGTTGGAAAAAACATATATCGCAAGGATAATTTGATAAAATATAAATACAAACAATCTTATATTTCTTTAATCAAATACTACAATCTTACATTTATGCTAAATAAACCAAACAATGTAATATAATATTCCTAAATAATATTGCATTTAAATAATTTTATTCACAAAGATAAACTTATGTTTCGTGAACCAAACACCCCTATTTATATGTATTTCCCAGGCCTTTTATGAAGCCCAACCTTCACTGCAGGCCGAAGGCCGAATAATACGTTACAAAAATGTCAAAATCTCTAACATCAACTCGGCCGAGTCAGTCCATCAACTTAAATAGATTAGGGTTTAAGGATATCAAGTCGCAGCAACCCCAGAAGAAGCTAAGAAGCCTAGAACTCCTAAATTTTTTGGTCAATCTTAGTCTGGGTTCATCAACAATGGCGGTGACAGAAGAGAAAACCCCCAAATCTCCCTCTCTTGAAGATAGCAAGAAGAAAATGAAGCGAAAGCGAAACCGAGTTAAGAGTTTGGAGCCCAAAAACCCTGATAACAACACGGATAGAGAAGGAGAAGGAGAAGAAGAAGCAAATGAAGAACTTGAAGAGGATGAAGTACACGCGAGAGAAGTTGAAGTTGACGCGAAAAAGAAAGAGAAGAAGAAGAGGAAGAAAAAGAAGAAGGTGAAGGGTGAAGATGATGAGAAACTATTAGGAAAGCAAACTGATGACGGAGAAGAAGAAAAGGAAACTAATGAAGAAGGAGAGAAGGAAAAGGGGAGAATACAGGATGGGGGAAGTGGGATAATGAGCATCGAGTCATTTGAGTCCGTAGGATTGTCTGAATCAACTTTTAAGGCTATCAAAGAAATGGGTTTTCAGTATATGACTCAGGTATCCTTTTTTACCCACTATTTTTCTTTTAGCTTAGTCATTTGTATCGAATTAGATTGGGTAGTTTTCTAAATGCGTTCTTCTGTAGTTGGTTTAGTTCAATTCAGAGTTCCGTCACACGTGATTGTCTAACAAGCAGAGGGATATGGTGGGGATTTTCTAGAAGGGACAATTATCTGTTATTTTGCTTTGTAGCATTTAACCATAGGCAATGACTTAAAAAAGAACAACGGATTTGTAACTAATGCTTTCCACTATGTCACTCTTGTCTCTTCATATTTTTGAACCGTGCCTCATCCAGATATGAGTCCGAAGATTTGATTAATCCCAGTACATGAAAACTCAACGTCGAACACATCCTCATATCCAAACATCACATGCAAGTCTGGATAACATAGGCCTTTTGACAATGTGTATACTAAGTTTCCCTTATATATTTTTACCCAAATGCATTTGATGGTTTTTAGGCTATGTATTAAGCTTGTTTTAGATTTATATGCTACTATATTTTCATTTGGTTATTTTATGTAAGACTTATGATCTTAAAATTTACCTGTCAAACTAAAAAACACAGATTCAAGCCAGAGCAATTCCACCACTTATGATTGGCAAAAATGTTCTTGGGGCTGCAAGGACGGGTTCTGGGAAAACCCTTGCATTCTTGGTACCTGCTGTTGAGTTGTTATATAATGTCCGATTCACTCCCCGTAATGGAACAGGTGTTATTGTTATTTGTCCCACAAGGGAGCTTGCCATTCAGGTAAAAATGTAAAATTCTTGTCGCTATCAATGTTCTTCTTTGGGTCAAAACTTATTTTCTTTTCCTGTAATTTCCACAGACTTCTCATCAGAGCAATAGTATAACCTTGCTTCACTATTATGCCGCCTACAGCTAATACTGATTGTTCTAAGTGTGGGGTTCATTTTGTCTATTAAGATATTATATTTCTGTTTGAGCTGAAAATCAGTTCTTGAAAGAAAAGAATGTAGCTAACCTATTTTTAGTAGATATGCAGTATGGTGTTCTGAATTGTAAGTTGATAAATCACTTATTAGGAAGATGCTTAGAGTGAAAAGATAATGAATTTCTAATGGCTGTTTCTTTGGTATAAATATCTATAATTTCAAATGGTATTGAATGCTCAGCTTTTCTTAGTAGCATGTACTATCTGCAACCTAATCTTATTATATGGGAATAAAATTATTTAAGAAAACTATTTTAATAGATATTGAGCATTGAGTTAATGGAATAAGTTGGTAAATCATATAGTTAGAAGGTGTACCATGGAAAAAGTATGTATTTTTTAATGGCTGGTTGAAGCAGGTGCATTGAGTTTAATTTAATTATTTGAAGTTTGATTTTTACAATAGTTTAAGTCTAGGGTTTGCGCTCTTTTTATATTATTATTAAATTTTTATGTGATTAGCATAGATTCTCAGTAACAGTTTTAGTATAACTGTTCTACAAGAGTTTTAAGTTTTAAGGGGACTGTTGGCTAGAGTTCTTATAAATACTCTACTAGTTATTAAGATTAAATTTATTATTATTATTGGAGAGTTTTAGTGCAAAAGGTTGCTGGAAAATTCCAGAACCAAGAGTTTCAATTTTCTTTGCCGTTTCAGATTTTTCTGTCCTTCACTTGTTTTTGGCATTAATTTTGTATGATCTGAATGTTCTGCTTTTCTTAATAGTATGGTACTATCTGACCCACTCTCATTATATGGGAATGGAAGAATTTGATTAAGGACTTGTTTTAGTTTCTTTTTTCTCTTTTGATGTCAGCAAAATCGATTTCTGTAAGATTTGGTCTTTGATATTTGAACTACTCCGTTCATGACTAAGCAATGGAACCTTCAAAATTTTCAGACTCATGCAGTAGCAAAGGATCTTCTCAAATACCACTCTCAAACCCTTGGATTAGTTATTGGTGGTTCAGCCAGAAGAGGAGAAGCGGAGCGGATTGTTAAGGGAGTAAATTTGTTAGTGGCTACTCCTGGTCGGCTTCTTGACCATCTTCAAAATACGAAGGGATTCATTTATAAAAATCTGAAGGTAACATGAACATTTCTGAACTTCTGTAATATATTTGTTTTTGTTTTCTGTTTTTCCTGGCTGACATTGTCATTTGTAATGTCATCTGATTAAGATTTATAATCTATTTACTTAAACTCAATTCCCTTGATTTTAATTTCTTCTTGGTTTATTAGCTTTTTGGGACTATTATTAACTAGAATGTTTGGTAATTTGCCGAAGCCACCTTTATTACTTAGAAGCATGTGGTTTCTTCCATGTATTACTTTCTTTGGAAGCAACAGAGAGGTGACATCATACTACCTTAGTTTTCAAAAGCGCGCCTAAGGAGTAGGCAAAACATAATATATTAAATTTTTAGATATTTTAAATTAAACTATTAATAATATTAACATTTATATGTTGTTCTTTTTTTAAAAATATAATATAAGACTTTCATTTACTTAAGGTTCAGATTCAAGCTCGAGTTTGAGCTTTAGTCAAGCTAAGTATGAGAACATTTCGAATTTAAGTTTTTTCGATCAAGCTTCAATTTTTCATTTCGAGTTGAGCTTGAAAATTTTAAGCTCGTGAGCTTTCAAGTCGAGTTGAGCTTCAATTTTTTATTTCGAGTTCGAGTTGAGCTTGACTGTTAAACTCGTGAGTTTTCGAGTTGACTTGAGCTCGGTTTTACACTTTTCGAGTCGAATCGAGCTCAACAATGCTCGTGTTTGACTCGGCTTGTTTACAGTCCTACGAGCCAACCAGCCCACCCCTAGCCCGAAATGCATAGAGCCCCAGCGTTAAGACTTGCAGATTGAATAATTGAATTTCCTAAAATTTCACGAGTCAAAATTCAGTTATTCACCGCCCAAATTAAGCCAAAATCCCGGAATTTCCATCTAAATTTATATAGGCAGAAGCCAGCAATTGTTGTGCACAGCAGTACCTATGATTGTTGTTCTCTTATGCATGAGGTTATATAATGTTTGTTAGTTAAATGCTACTAATTGAAGATATTGAACTGTAGGCAGTTTGCTAAGTTTATATTGTTCTGGTGTTCTAGGCATTAATATCTATTATTGATTTCTTGTTCTTCCTTTTTCAACTTTTAGATTATATGATTTCCAAGCCTTGAAATGACACATCAAGAGCTTGTCTTGGAATTGTTCAAATATGTTTTGATAAATATATATAGTAGAGGTATAGAATATGTTGCATAAAGTCACAAAATATAAAATCTAAATCTGATTTTTTTTGTCAAATTAAAGTTTGTATTCCGATCCGGATATCCGATCCGAAATTTCAGATATCCGGTTTTTCGGATTGGATACGGATCACAATTTTAGTGGCCCAAATTTTCAGATATTAAAAAATTTGGATCGGATAATATTCGATATCCAAAAATGCACACCCCTAATTCACGATGCAATTGTTGGAAGAAGAATTTTGGTAGTTATTATGATTTGGTTATAGTAGCCGGTGCTCTTTAACCTATGTTCATTTTGAATTTATTTCTGGTGAATTGTTATTTAATGCATAAACCAATATAGAAATGCATTAGCTTACAGTTACTTCATGTAGATAACTTGAAAACCCTCTACTCCCTGACAAGATTAAATCAGATTCAGACTTGTAGTTATACATCATGTAAATTAATTTTTTTTTTGGGGAGAAATTCTCCATCTGCAGTGTCTTATTATTGATGAAGCCGACAGGATATTGGAAGCGAACTTTGAGGAAGAAATGAAACAAATTATCAAGCATCTTCCTAAGGTGAATCTCTTAGCCCTTTATATTGTAGATTATAATTACATGAGGAATTTTATAACTTCGAATTATTTGAATTAAATCATCTCTATGATTTCTGAAGATGAAATGGATGGAAACCAAAATAGTGGTAGTAATAGTTTTATTCAGTGATATTGCTTTTGAATGTTAAAAAATACTTTGTGAAGTAGTACATGACTGGGGTTAAAAGCTTAGCTTTCTGAAGAACTAGGTCCAGTCGCTCAACTTTTCTTAAAAGTTATGAAGGATAACCAAATTAATTAGCTTAATGGTTGAATGGAAGGGGTTTGAACTATAGAATGTATATTGCAATTTGCAGAATAATGTGTATATCTGGGAGTAACAGACTTTGCTCTTTTGAATAATATTATTAAGCTCAGTAGCATACATATTTTTTATTGCAACTGCAACCTGTAATAAATTATTCCAAAAATGTTAGCAAGCTCGCAAACTTTGGTGCATTTATCTACAAGAAAAATGATGATAGTAGATTGTTGATTATGACATTAGACCGATATCGATGCCTCTTACTTGAATTGCAGTATTTGGTTTCTCCCTCCAGTAGAAATCAATCAGTCTTAGATTTGGCAACTCCTAAGGTGTTTAAAGCTTACTAAATTCCTCTTTGATGAGCAGGAAAACAGGCAAACAGCTTTATTTTCAGCTACCCAAACTAAGAAGGTTTGTCCTTCACTCTTGTTTTTTTACCATTTTTATCTTGTCTTGCTATTTATTGATGATCACATTTATGCTAGCTTTCTTCAGAAAGTTGTTTATCAAGCTTATATTTTCTCACGTTGAAAGTCGCAACTGTCTTCACTTTTTGGAGTGAAATTCTGGGTATTTTTGTGTGACCATCTGACGGTTCCCTGAATTTGTAGGTTGAGGACCTTGCTCGTTTGTCATTTCAGACAAGTCCTATTTATATTGATGTAGATGATGGGAGAAAGAAGGTGGGCACAGTCCAAATTTAATCTATAGATACACTCTCAAGTGTACTGGCTGCCTATCCTTTGACTTAACAAGATGCTTTCATCATTATAGGTCACCAATGAAGGTCTGCAGCAAGGCTATTGTGTTGTGCATAGTTCCAAAAGATTTATCCTTTTGTATTCATTTTTGAAGAGGAATCTGTCCAAGAAAGTGATGGTCTTTTTCTCTTCTTGCAACTCAGTCACGTTTCATGCTGAACTTCTTAGATATATTCATGTGGATTGCCTTGATATCCATGGAAAGCAGAATCAGCAAAAGCGAACCACTACCTTCTTTGACTTCTGCAAAGCAGAAAAGGGAATTTTGCTTAGCACTGATGTTGCTGCTCGTGGACTTGATATTCCTGCTGTGGTATGTTCCTAGTTTTAATTGGGTTGCCTATGGTATTTGGTATTTGTGACTTATGTTTATGTTTTCTGCTTCTTGTTGGAACATCTATACTATAATGTTAGTGTAGTTATGGTTTAAGCTTAACTGACTATCCATTAGGAATTTTCCCCCATTTTAATAAAAATTCTGTACATGGTTGTGTTACTTGTGTATAGGTCAATGTTGAGTACTTCATTCAATTTAAACTTGAGAAAAAATCATTTTGACTGAATTTTCCCTTTCTATTCTCACCTGTAGGATTGGATTCTGCAGTATGATCCTCCTGATGAACCCAAGGTGCATGCTGTATATATATATATATATATATATAATTGCTATTCATGTATTTTACTGTTTTCCCATCCATGTTGACTGTTGAGTAAACATTTGGCTTCGGAATGTTGCTTTCAGGAATATATTCATAGGGTTGGTCGAACTGCCCGTGGGGAAGGTGCAAAAGGAAATGCTCTTCTTTTCCTGATCCCCGAGGAACTGCAATTTCTTCGCTATCTCAAGGTGCATTATTTTTTCCGAATAACCAGGAAGAAAGTGGCAGCATGGAGATAAGGCTATGTTTCCCTGTCTTTTCAATTTCTTGAGGTATCCGTGTAGGATACCTGTGTCTGACCAATATCTGGACATATGAGGATATTGCTTTTCAATGACCCTCTAAATACATTTGAAAACTTCAAAAAATTTGAATATACCTTTATCCGACAATAACACAGTCCGAGTATCATAGGGTTGAGGACCTTAATATGCCTTTGCAAGAGATTGGAGTACAAATAACAAGCCTCCTAGAAATTTCTGGCTAGCAGTCAGTTGAAATGATTCTAATTTGATTCTTTCTTGTCTATATTTTTCTAATGACAGGCTGCGAAAGTCCCAGTTAAGGAATACGAATTTGATCAGAAAAAGCTGGCGAATGTGCACTCTCATCTGGTATCCTTTCTACTCTGTTCCATATAACTCGCTTGAACTAATGAAGTTTGGAGGAGCTTAGAGTGTTTGCTTGGAATGATGCAGGAGAAATTGGTGGCGAACAACTATTATCTAAACAAGTCAGCTAAAGATGCGTATCGATCTTACATTCTAGCATACAATTCACACTCGATGAAAGATATATTTAATGTGCATCGCCTTGATCTGCAGGTACAACCTTTCTTCCGTCCTACTAAAGTGGAATCTCTACTCTATTCTTTCCATGTTTCTGGAATGTGTTAGAATCTTAATAAAATTTTATCCGGAAATAGAATGTGTTAGATATGGAATTTTCTACATAACTATGTGTATTTAGCTGACCTGCAAGAAACTGGAAATCGTGTTTTCAAGCAGGCTGTTGCTGCATCCTTCTGTTTTTCATGCCCTCCGAAGGTTAATCTGAACATAGACAGCAATGCATCCAAGTTTAGAAAGAAAATGCGTAAAGTTGAAGGAGCACGGAACAATTTCAGCGAAAGCAATCCGTATGGGAGGCAGATAAGTGAAGAGGATAAACGGCATCTTGTAAGGTTTTAATGAATTGAATGCAGGGGTCTGCTACAATTTTGAATCTGTACAATTTGTTCTTGAAAGAAAATGCTAATCAGCTGAGGATTTAGATGCAAGTTTTGATGTGCTTACAATGAATGTTGAGATCCTTGGTTGGAGGCTGAATCACTGTTGTTTACTTTGAATTTAAATTTTAATTAAAGAATTAACGGAATGGTTAATAGACATGTTATTGCCTGAACTGAGTAAAGATGGGACAACATATTTTCCTAATTGTGGTTGAACCAACTTGGATTACAATTTGGCCAAATAATTTTATCTCAGCCAAGAGAAAACACTGAATCAAACAAGATAATCAGAAGAATTTCTGTGCCAAATGATTTTGATCCCCAACTATTTCTTTTACAATGGGGAAAATTTTGAAATATGCAAGTCCTTGAAAATTATCTTGGGATTTAAGTCACTTATTACGCTTGAAATTCGTCATGAGGTCAGAGAATGATGAGTTCTATAAAATATAATAAATAATTAGAATTTGTTATTCTCTTTTCCGGTTCATATGATGAGATCTATTCTTTTTAATGTATTTTACGACATTCTTTCATGACAATTTTCGTGAGTACTATAACAAATGATCTAAATCTCAAAATAATTTTTAAACACCTGTAATTTTTTTAAAAAAGTTTCGTACCTATCTTATTTTCAAATTTTATTGACACGTTATTTCTTCTTTTATATAAAATATAAATATACAAAAGATTATATGAGAGCATTCATATTGTTTCTTATATAGTAAAGCTTGGCTCTTCTTACTTTTTTATTGTCCGCAACTTTTTTGTCATTTATATTAGGGGAAACCTTTTGTTAGGATTTGTGAGTAGTTTGAATTTGATTCTTTTAAAGATTGATCAATACTTGATTCGAGTTGATTCGATTTAAGTTTAAGTTTAACTCGAAACTTTAACGAGTCAAGTCGAATAAGATTTAACTACTCGATAAGTTTGTGAGTAGGACAAATTTTTTTTGAATAATGATGTTGAAATTTTTTTCTCAAATAATGCTGCCAGACAATTATTTGCTCGAATAAGACGATCGCTACAGTGGGAGGCTAAGACACTCTGCGTCGGGCGACATTGGTGTGCCACATGAAACACTATGCGACTTTGGGGGTTTCAAATAGGGGGACACATGGCTTCTAATGCGTCTTTGAGGGGTTTTGGTGAATATCACCTGGCTTTCCATGCGTCTCCCGGCTAACATACCTGCATACCCCATGCATTCGTATCATGTAGCTGTAGCTGGCCATTGATTCCTATAACTACATCTATATTGATATTCCCCATATCATAATTCATATCATGCCAACTACAACTTGAACATAATTTTTTTCGAATTATATATATGTATAAATAAACGGGAATGATCATCACAAAACTAAAGAAAGGAGCATCAATTATAAGTAGTACAATTGATAGAGAGCAATTGCAAAGAAAATTAATAGAGAGAGCATTTCAGAAAATTCGGTACGTATTTTCTTCCATTATTCTGATTTGATTATGTATTATATGGTTGATTTGTTTAAATTCTTATTGTTTTGTCTAAATTCTTATTATTTTGTCTAAATTATTTAGTTTTTGCAAGGCAAAGATAGAAAGATTTTTTTTCTTCAAATCAAGTTGTTAAAAGAAACGATAAAGTAAGTCTAAAGAAATTTTATTTGAAGTATTTTACGATTTATTGTTATGTTAATATTATTTTTATAATATTTGTAGTTGTGTTTTACTTTTACGAATTTATTATTGTTATGTTAATATTATTTTTAATTTTTATATTGTATAATATCATTTTTTATTCTAAATACAAATTTTAAATTTGTAGAGAAAATGAGAAACAACATTTTCACGATAATCCACTATAATGGACATATTATAGAAAATGAGGTCGGAGTTATTTTCAGTCTGAAAGGCCTATAAATATGATGTTAAAAAGGGAGATTACATTTGTATAAATGAAGCAGAGGATAGAAAGAAAAATTTGAGCTGCAGTTGATAGTTTGAAGTACAGGTTTATGGTATGTCCCAATCCAGTTAGCTATGTTGCAATACCAATTGAAGATGATGATGATTTTAGAACCATGATTGGATTACACGAGTTAACAAATATTGCAGTTATTGAGTTATTTGTTGATGTGCGTAAGATATCTGATGTTCCTAGGTCATCAAGAAATGTGGTCGGAAGTGAGTTTGAGGACCCGACATACATGTCGATAAACAGTTTTGTGACGTTATTGAAATGTGGAAATGAAATTAGTGGGACATTCGCAACAGAGTATGGAGTGAGAAGCATAAATGATGCGGAATTGATTGTTGATGTTGATGCTGAAAATCAATGAGGAGAAAAACATGATGATTCCAGTGAAGATGAAGAAACCGATGAACATGTTTTGGCCGGTGATGATAATTTTTACGGTGGGGTGCACCTAACTTGGTTGTTGATGAAGTTTTGACACTGTATCAACCTACCCCTCACATGTACGAGATAGATTATGATATGATGAGGGCATTAGGATTCCCAGACATGCCACATTTACCTCCATACCACATGGTTGAATCATTCGGAAACTATGGTGAATTTTCAGTTAGGATGCAATTTAGAGGAAAAAATGAAACTATGTTGGCGAATAAAGAGTATTGCATCAAAGGCCATATTGATGTCCATGTTGCAGAGTCCAACCAGAAAACCATATATGTGAAGTGTGTTAAATATGGCCCAGAGTGCAAGTGGAAGATCAGATTGTTGAAAATTCATAGGCACGATGCTTGGGTCATCACAAGGTACAATGGTCCTCGCACATGTTTGCGAAACTCCATCAAACAAGACCACCAACTATTGAACTCTGATGTAATATGCAAATACGTGAAGGTGTTGGTTGAAAAGAATCCAAGTATCCCTTATTCAGTGTTAGCTGTGTCTATTCAAAGCAAATTTGGACACCATGTAAAATATGACAAGGTTTGGAATACGAAGATGAAGGCAATGAAGCTGACATGTAGAGATTGGGATACATCATACAATGAGCTACCATATTTGTTACAAGCAATGAAGCGGTTCATCTTGAGAACCATAGTGAAGTCTCAAACCATGCCTGCATATGACGAAGAAGGTCAATGTAATACCCCAAACATCGGGTCAGTGATGAAAATGTAATAATTTAAAATTTAGTTGTTTAAGTTGAATAAATTGAAAAGTTCAATGACTAATTTTGAAAATTATACTTAGGACTTAATTGCAAAGATGAGAGAATGGAAAGGCAAAGAGGTCTTTTACCATGATATGAATTTAAAATTCATTTTAAAAGATATTTAAGCCTATGAAGATGGGAAAAGAAGAAGTATCCGGAAAAGTTTGGCTCATTTCTCTTCTTCTTCTTTCTTTTTGTGTTGTGAACCTCCATTTCCAAGGTGAGTGATTTATAATTTGATTGTTTCTTGAATTTTGAAGTTTGTTTTTGGTCTTTGGGTGATACATAAGCTTAAGGAAAGCTTTAGGTTGATTAAAACTAAGAGATGAGTGAATTAATGATGAATTTGAAAAATGGATCTTTAATGGATTTGTTGATATGGTTTAGTATTTAGATTTCTAATGATAAATTTGACTTGTCAAGGGTCTAATTAAGGAGTTAGAAGTATTAGAAATGATTAAGATCATGTTTGAATAATTGGTGTGATCGTTAGTTCTAAGTATTCTAAGGAGAAATTTGGGTGTTATAAGAGAAATTATGGAGGTAAGTTAGCTAGGATAAGAAATAATGAGTTTGAGAGTATGAATGAGGTTTAAAGCTTGATATTTAGGTGAAGAGTGAGTAAAATTTAAATTAAAATAAGGGAAATCTAGGTAAGAGTATCGGTACGGGAAGAACAGTACCGATACTAGAAGGGTAAACTGAAGAAAAAACGTATGAATCTGATGAACAATATCAATACTGACTGAAGAAGTATCGATACTGAGGTGGAGGTATCGATACCAAGAGGAAGGCATCGATACTATTTTTTAAATGAAATTCCAGAATGCCAAAATGGCATCGATACCGAAGTGGGTATCGATACCATAGAAAAGAAGTATCGGTACTATAGGAGGGGTATCGATACTATTTAGCCTGAAATGTTGAATTAGGCGTTTCATTTCCAGTTATGTTTATGTAAATTGGTTATTCATTATTGGGAAGTTGGTATTGATCTTAGATATATTGATGTGTAGATTTGGAATGAAAACGTATTAATCGAAGCAATATAGCAAGAGACTGAACAAAAGTTAAAAAGGATTTTGTTTAGGACTTCAGTAAGGCAAAGGTGAGTGTAACTCATTTGTTTTATATTAGATTCGAGGGCGGCTTGTGATAAGCCAACCTCAGAGTTTTCGATCAAAAACCATTCTATTTCTTTTATGCAATGTTTTTACAATGTTTTATTCAAGTTGTAATTCTTAAACTATGTTTTGATTGGTATATGTACATGATTATGAATATGTGATGCGTGAATATGCTTGATGTGAAAGTGCCTATGTGAACAAGACACACTCTGAATAATGAAATGAAAAATAATTATGTGGTTAAAAGCCCAAGGTATATGTATGAGAATTATAGGTATAGTTGGCATGCCAAGAGTCGAGGGTTCTATGTGGTCTTTCGGGACAAAACTATGTAGTCCTTCGGGACAAAACTATGTGGTCATTTAGGACAAATATGTGGCACTTCGGTGCAATTTATGTGAGTAGTGGCGACTACATCAGTGCACAATCTCAATGTACTCAAATACCTATAGTTTTCAGTAGTATGCATTGGGCTATTAAAAAAAAGTTATATAAACCGAACTGTAACATCCTCAATACCGGGTTAGTGACCAAAATGTGAAATTTTAAAATTTTAGTGACCAAATTAAATAAATTGAGAAATTCAAGGATTTAATTGAAGTATTTGGTGTAGGATGAATTAACAAATGAAGGAGAAGTAAAAAGGTAAAAAGGTCATTGATCAAATGATAGCATAAAATAATAATTGTGGGGTTATTTTATAACCCACATGGATCATGTTTTGGGAAACATAGTTTCCAGATAACTCTTCTCTCTTCTTTCTTCATCTCCTTCTCCTTCTTCACCGTGAAGCATACAAGCAAAGGTGAGTTTCTTAATTAGTTGATTCTTTGTTGAACTAAAGGTTGGGTTATGATCC